TATATATATATATATATATATATATATATATATGTGGACATTGGCAGTTTCAAGGAAAGTGTAACACACATGCACACCACTCTTGCTAGAGGAACCTCACTTCTGTATTGGTGAGTTATTTACAGCCAGAGGTATTTAACTGATAGAAAGTATCTGCTTCCATGATCTGGAATGAATTCCCTTGAAAGAATGTACAATTTGAAGGCTCATTTGTTTTTTCTAAGAAAAAATATCAATTCTAGCATTCAGAACAGGCCATTGAAATAATGAATAAAAGAAAGGTTCAGTTTTTTTTCCCAATAAGTTGTTTTTACTGTACATTTTGTAGCAAAAGAGGAAGGGAAAAGAAAATATTTTTTATCACAGGGATGCCATTTTCTAAAACTTCAAATAGGAAACATGACGGATAACAGGATCAAATACATAGCCATGTCACAATATATCTCTGAGCTGAGCTTTTTCTTAAAAACAAAACAAAAACAGAGATTGTATGTGAGTGTTCTCTTTGCCCTTTACAATTCTTTTCTGCACAGATCCTTTGAAAAAATAGTGTGCAATTTCAGAAAGAGCTCCCCAATGGACAAATCTTTGGGAGTGAATAAATACAGAAAACAATTCTGAATTATAGGCCACTGAGCTTGTGGCTATAAAGGCCAACATTTCACTTCTGCCATGGAGTGGTGCTTTGGGAGGGCAGGATTTGTGCATTCACAGCTCTTCCAGATCCATTAATGCATTTGATTACCACTTAAAAAGGCATAATGGGCAGTCTCAAATGGGCAAGGGTTTTGACAGGAAAGACAAGCATGTGAGCATGATATGGGACAAAGAGAGACTATATAGCATGGTTGAATCTGGGCCCCACCTCATCAATACTGCATTTTCCAGAGCTCATGAGGAATATCCCCATAATCAAACTTTGAGTTTCATGTGGTGCCTGGAGATTTCAGGTTTCATGCCCTTCTTCTGACATATATAAGGATATGCCAATTTGTGGTATGAGGGCTATGGGCCCCCTCCCCCCCCCTCCCTTAATGTTTATGAGTCTGATTTTTCTTGTTTGTTCACTAAACATTGATTTTGGAACCTTGGTCAGAAACAAGAATGTCTTTCTCCTCTCTTTCCCAGGTTATGAAAACTGAGTTTCTCTCTTCCATCCTCCAATCTGTGACATTAAACTTGCTTATATTGTTAATAACCTGTGGCCATCTGGTGATGAATAAAATAGATTAGGGATTAATGATAACATCTCAATTATTAGATTTATTTATTTTTCCTCCTGGGAAAGTGCTATGGAAATTGTTTAAAAAAGTTATAACAAGGGAAAGAAAGGCAGTGGGTATGGACTAGTAGGGTTAGGGTTAGGATTGTTCCTGGAGAGGAAAGAATCTTCAGCCAAACAATAGCAAGACCTTTTCAGAATGTTGCTTTTAATCTTAAAAGGTGGTTTGTGTGTTCAGGGTCTCTTTCTCCAGCTATACTGGTTATGTAGTGACAGCTAATGTTATCCCCCTGCCAGTTTTGTGTCCACTGAAATGTTCTTCTCAGACAATGGGAAAATGAAGAAAAAAATAATTCTCCTAAGAGTTGAATGGGCATTTCTTAACCAGTATTAATCCTCTTTCAATCTCGTTAAACAGTTCACTGGGAAACTGGGATAGCACTGAATACTTCCAGTGAATCCATTGAGACATTCACACATACATAAATAATATGTTGAGGGCATATCACCATCTCCTTACACACATGCACACATCCTATAAACTTTTCATAACTTCTTTTACTCCACTTGAATTCTTTATGTTAATATTTATTGACCAATATGTGGCTGAATGTGTGTGTGTTTTTTTGTTTTCCTTCTATCACATTTATGGCCTTTTGAACTCATGGACTTGGTTATGTTTGGTGGGACTAAGAATGGTATGGAGGGCAACTTCTATTTACACTGTGCTTTCCATGACCCACTCTGAGCTCCCATAAGTTCCCTTTGACTCTGTCAGGTCACTGTCATTGTACTGTAAAAGCATACCATTCACTGACAAACTACGTTTTGTCCAAATGTTTGTGATCTTTTTTGGGTAGTTGCAACACTGAGATGTGGAAAAGTCCCCCATGTCAAAAGAATGGCTACGTTTAGTTTTACCCTCCAGTGGTAACATGAGGAGGCTACGAAATTTGGATTCCTGCTGACCCAAAAGTGGTTCTTTGTCTGAGTGACGGACCACTATGGAAGTTCTTGAGTCTATTGTTTCCTCCTTTTTCTGACACTTCAGGTCCAGAGAGGCGAAAGCTCCCATGAGCCGATCAATATTGTGATGCTTTGATCTTGATGGGGGCCTCCATTTATTGGACAATGTGCCCTGCTCACTTTGGAGGCTGTAGCCATCACAGTCACGGCTGTTCATGGAGCTAGAGGAAGAAGAGATGCTGCTGTGTGCTGACTCACAGTTAAACTCCATGAGTTCATTCCTTACCACAACTTTGGGATTGACTTGTGGCAGGACTCCATTCTGGACAGGTTGAGATCCATTGGTTTGAGAATAGACGTTGCTAACATTGGCCATCTTGCCAGAGGTGTTGTTGCAAACCTTGTACCGCACCATGAGTATGACAATAAATACCAGCAGAGTTGCCACAATGATGCCTCCAATTATTAAAATCATGGTCCCACCCAGAAACTGGCTGTGCATGGACTGGCACTGGGGATAGTCCTCTTTGGTGTAGAACTGGGCACAGCCCACTATGTTGGTAGCAGTGAGCGTTGTGGCAGTGTCATCCCACAAGGCCAGAACACAAAGATCATAGCCTGTTCCAGAAACCAGGTTGTTCACCACAAAAGCCTTATTTGTGGCTGGAATCATCCTTGAAGAGAAAGAAAAGAGTAGCATTAGATTAATTTGCAAGATAACAATAGACTAAAAAGGCAGAGGCAACTGTGGACTTCAGAGGAACTAAATAATGGCAGTAACAGGCACAAAAATTGAATTCTCAGTTTTTTCACCTGGGCATACAAGCACGGCAACCTTGCTTATTTCTGAATATGTGATTAAAAAAAAAAAAGAGTTCTGTCACCATACCTTGTGATTCCTCCCCACAGTATAGCAACTGATCCTTAAAAGATTAGTGGTATTTGCACCACGGTTAGGTAGACCATATATTCCAGCTTCCTTGTTGGTATTCAGTCCACTTTGACACATATTATAAATCATAATGGTTGCGATCCCATATTGACAAAGCACAAGCATTCAGAATTCAAAGAGGAGCAGTTACTTCAGTTTAAAATCTAACAAGGTTATCAAAATATCCATTACCAACTTTTATAGTAGATAGGTTATTAATCCAGGCTGGGTTTTTTTGTTTTGTTTGTTTTGTTTTGTCTATGTTTTTAATTGTTTCAGCATTGGATTAGATGGTGTAAACTGGCCCATCTGTGGGGGGGGGGGGACTTATAATAAATTAAGTGAAATAAATGCCTTTATTTGTTTGCTTGTTTAATTTGTATGCTGCCCGACTTCCTACAACTCTGGGCAGCATAAAAAAGATTATGATTGCTATAT